AATTAGGATAAGCATCGCCCTCGAAAACGACCAACTTATTTAAAACTAATAACAGCAGAATGTGTGTCTCAGAACTGGAAACGTTTTGGCAAAAATGATGTAGGAGAAACAATTAAAATTTGCTTAATAAAAGCAGGGTTTATCTCGATTGCATCATATCATTGTGAAGTCGCATTTGTACATCGACACACCATTTTTAAACTGGAATATCTCAGCTCAGAATTAGTATATCCCACAGCATCATCCGATGCACATAACAGCAAGCGAAATCGATGTAACATCCCGGCACTCGTCTCTCCCTACGGCCAGAGCAGAACTAACGACCATTACAGCGGTTGAAATTTGTGGTGATACAATAGGACATACATTCTCACATTGTTTATAATTTTGGAATTTTCAAAACATCAGAAAGTTCACCGAAAATGAGACCTGCGCCTTTCTTTTGAGCTTCTATTGTTTTATCCGTGGGAAAAGTAAAGAAAAAAATTGGAGCTGTTTTTGAGGAAATGTCTTTATACAATAAATTACATTAATTTTAAGCAGAAATTAAGCAAAAATGACTAATTTTCCAAAAATTAACTCCTGCAATATATGAAAATATTCATTACTGCTTTCAATTATTTCCTTCATATTTTCCAACAGCTCGACGATTCAGATTCTTGTGTTTTGCATCACAGTTCTCATTTCTAAATGTCCTCAAGGCCGCCTGTTCTCAATGTCCCCAGTTATCAATGTCCTTAGTTATCAATATCTCCAATTCTCATAGTCCTACGTTAAAAATGTCACCAGTTGCCAATGCTGACAGTTGCCAATGTTTTCAGTTGTCAGTGTCGTCAGTTGTCAGTGTGGTCAGACGTGTCAGTGCCGTCAGTTGTCAGAACCTCATCAATTGTCAGGGTCGTCAGTTGTCAGTCCCATCAGATGTCAGCCTCGTCAGTTCTCGATGTTCTCAAACCTCAGTGTATTTTTTTTAATTTCCAAAAGAATCTTGAGATATAAAAAATCGAAAAGATTCAACTTTTCGTGGCGCCCGTCAACATTCGGTTCGTAAGTCCGACGCGATTGGTTGTGACCAGATGGGAGCGGACAAGCGTGATAACAACAGCAAGCCGTGCCGGGTTGGGGCGTTAGGTGACAGAATTGGCGGGCCAGGGGTGAAGGTGCGGGGGGGGGATGGGCGGGTTGGAGTTGAGGTCGAGCGGGCGTTGCCGCGTTTTGCCACCTAATCAGTAGCAACGCGGCCTTGTTTCTACTTTCAAACCCGAGCCGTGGCATACGCGATGATCAATTCGGTATTGTAACGGGGCGGAGAAATGTGATTATATGAGTGTGGTTTATCGGAGAACCAGCTGCAATCGAATCGTCGCCG